GTCCACACACCTGTTTGGGCCCATTGCTGTGTCTAGACATTTTGGATGACAGTTGTGGTGTACAGTGCTTCTTTTGATGGGACAAAACTTGTGACTCTGCCTTTTCCATGCGGACCTTGCCACTGGGCCATGTGTTTGTAACTTTAAGGCTAAATTGCTGCATTGCACTTTAAGGGCGACCCCTGAAAAGGATTCAGAATTGTCAGTCAGTGCAGATTAAATAAGGCGTTCTGAGCACAGAACATCAGTGCTCCATTTTCTGTACAGGATTCCTGCTAACTTGTGAGGGAATGTGGGGTTCTAGTTCTAATCCTCCATTTGGTATGGGAACGTGTTATCTGAGGGATTGTCTCCCTTCCTGTGTTCCTGTAACTGATGGAGCACTGTTGTTACGGGGGAAGAGAGAGATTTTCCTCAGCAGGAAAGTATTCTTATGGACTTCAGAGTGTACTTCTCGGAGCCTACTCCCTCCATGGCTGTAGAAGAGCCAGAGTTTGAGGGCAATATAAGAATGACTTGGGTATTTTTGGTCAAGTTTTTGATCGATCTTTAAGCAGTAATATAGAATAGGAGGGTTTTTTTAAGTGAGCAGAAGGGTTTGTTATATTTTGTTTAATTGATGGAAGGCTGATAAGCCGAGGTACCTCTGTAGAAACCTGGTAGATATTTCTAGAATACATGAACTAACTTCACACAGACTATTCACAGAACAGCTAAGAAGTTACAACTTTCATTGTTGTTAAGCTAAACTGGATTCAAACCATTAACTTTGAAGTGAAAGTCTTTCTGTTTCATTATGAGTTCCCTGAATCATCTGCTATTCTTCCACTAGTCTTTCTTCACCATAAACTTTAGACCAAGCCTCCAATATTGTCATTACTTTATTTGTACAGCCTAAGAGTTTTTGCCCAAATATGTTTAATATTATGCTTTTAAAAAAATTGTACAAGGGTTTATTCCTGGAAGACAAATCACTTCCCCTTTTCACTCCACCTAAAGCTAATATAGGTCATTATTTGTGCATTTAATATTTTTATCTTTAATGTGTATTCTTGCATTTGTTGTTTTCAAAGCTGTTATAAAGTTATTTGAACACAACTCTGATAAAGGAAAAAATAAATTATTTCAACAGAAGTTATTGTTTGGCTACGAGGTTTGTATAACTTGTAGTTTTGGGATCTTCATTTGATGCCCAGTAATTTCCAGGTGGAATTCAAATGTTGGTTTTAGCCTGCATGGTCCTAAAAGTTTTGGGGCCCAGTTTTGTGGGAAATAGATTATTTTCTTTGGACATATAGCCAAAGCTGAGATCAGCAGAGGCTCTTGAGCTGATTCTCCTTCACTCCAAACAACAAAATTGCTGTTAAGATGTTCTTTGAGAGGGGTCCTCAGACTGGAATTCACTCCCCTCATTCTGCCAGAGCTCGGATCTGTTAGCATTTCAGACATATTGCAAAATCCCTTTTTTTCTTCCCAGGCATTTGGGAAGTGGGTGGGCTGAGGTTTGGAGGTATTGTCTTTGTTATTTTGCTTTCTGCAGAGACGTTTTCATTTATTACCATGTTTACTAGGGCATGTTTGTATATTTATTGCTGGAGTGGGATTTAATCCGGTCTATTAATTTTCATAATAAATATCTTAATGTAGCGGCGGCCAGAGTCTGAGATGAGTGCTTGTTTGTTTTACAAACATAAATAAATGGTTGCCTCCTCCTGTATCCCTTGTCAAAGTTCACTTCCTAATCTCTACTTAGTTTTTAACTTACTTATTTGTATCCCTTAGAAAGACAGTATGGACTCTACCTCCGTTATATAGGAGAACTTTAGAATTAGGCAGCTACTTTGCTAGCCTAATATAGGCCCTGATCCTGCAATTTGTTCCTTGTGGTCAGACGCCTGTGTCCATACAGAACCCCTTCAAAAAGCAGCGAAGTTCTGCGTAGGGCCAGTGTTCTGGAGCTGAGTATGGACAAAAAGGAGCAGAAAGGGAAGGGGGGGTCATCGGGGGGGGGTACACACACTTTAGGCAGATATAGAGAAAAATGTATGGACATTGTAAATATTACAGGTGAAATCCCGGCTCCATTGAATTCAATGGAACTCTTGCCATTGGCTTAATGGGGCCAGGATTTCACCCTACGATTTCATGTGCTGTGGAACTTTCCCTTTTTACTATTCTAGAGCTAACAGAGATAGTATACATTAAAAATGCTGAATGGATCGCAAAGGAACAGACCCAATAATGCATCTGGATTAATTTGTATAAAGAATAGTATAAATAATAGAATGAGATTAAATTATGTTTTCTAACTTGAAATCAGAGGTCTTGATGAGCCCCATATTTGACTATATTGTGGGGGAGGAGAGGAGGACTTGCAGCTTCATGTTTTCTCAATTGTAGCAAGTTATCAGATTTTGAATGAGCTACTATATATCATGTCTGCTAAAGGTAAAAATGTATTCTTTATCAAAGGTATGTTGCAAAGCATCATGGGGTGACATTTTCCAATCACCATCTAAATCTGCCTGACAAAGCTTTAAAAGAAATAAAACACAACTAAAAGTTCCAGTGTTTAGTCTAAAAACACATATGGCTGAGGTTGCTGTTTTAGGCTATGTGAACTAACTGTAGAAGTCTTTTGTCAGCTCTTCGTCCCACTAAAGCCTTGTCAGCATGAGTAATGTGTTAATTTGCTGACTTTTTGCCTTGATGTTTTGAGTTAAGTTTCCTATAAAGAGTTTGTATTTTTTTGTTTTAATGCCTTTCCATATTTTAAAGATACATTTGGAGAACTGTATCTCCAGTGCTTGCTCTCTAGAATCACCGGGAGTAAAAGGAAGTCCTTTCAAGATTGTATCTTTGTGAAGAAATCTTAGCCTTGTCTGCACTACAGAGTTTTGTCAACAAAAGTTATGCTGACATACAGCAACCGCTTTAATTAAACCACTGTCTACACTATGCTCCTTGTATTGGCAGAATGCATCCACATTAGCAGCTCTTACATCGACACAGAGAGCAGTGCACTGTGGGTAGCTATCCTGCTGTGCAACTGGACACAGGGAGCTTTGGGAAGGGGTTGCAATGCCTCATGGGACAGGTTCAGCGTCACATGATGCAGGTTTCTTAATCCTATCGTTCCATAGGCCTCCTACTATATTGCCAGGTGCTTTTCAACTGAAATGTGGGGGATGAGTGTGTATGGGGGGGGAGTGTGTGACAGGGAGTGTGTGTGTGTGGGGGGGAGAGACAGAGTGTGTGTTGGGGGAGGAGGAGTGTGTCGGCATGCTGACTCTTTAAATTCAGACAGCAGATGAAAGCACACACGCACACACGCAGTTTCTGCCTACCTGCCACTGTGTTCCTAGTGCTGGAGAGAGCAGGATTCCACGTTAATGATTTGCTGGTTGCTGCCGTATGGTCAGCTGTCTGAACTTCCCGAATCTTTGAAAGGGGAGGGGCATGTGCCTGTGTAGCTGGAATGCAGGGCAGCCAAGTTCAAAATAATGAGCAGAGTGGTCACGGCGGGCATTGTGGGATACTGGGGGAAGCCAGTGATGGCGACATAACAAATGGCAGCGTCTACATTGACTCTTTGTCGCTTTAACTTTGCCGCTGAAAGATTTTGCCTCTCGTCGAGGTGGGATTTTTTGGTCAGAAAAACAGGAGAGTTTTGCCAACAAAAGTAACATTGTAGTGTGTATGCCTCCACTGTTTTGTCTCCACTGCTTTGCCGACAAAACTGTGCAGTGTAAACAAGGCCTTAGAGAGAAGAAAAGAGTTGAGGGGCGCTGTAAACTGGTGAAGTGGCCAAACAGGAAAACAAAGATACAGTTGCCATCACCAGGGTCCTTTCCTTAAGGAAAATTATAAATTATAAAAAAAAAAATCAAGATAACATAAATAATACTTAATAACAGAAAAGCCTTACTTTCATTTCAGCTGACTACTATGATCCAGGGTGTGGAGCCCTATCTAACTATTACTATAATACCAATACTATACCAAGTATTCTCCCAATTTGATCTTCCAAACCACTCTTAGGCCTGGTCTGAACTAGGAAAATTACTCATTGCTAATAATATGCCATGAAATGGTACAAGCATGGTGTATCCTGGTCTATGCGTTGCTGTTGACCCATGTTCAGAATGATTCAGCTGTGCACATTGATGATACCTGTTATCAGCAAGGGGTAATGCTCTTAGAGTAGGTCAGATCTTATCGATCTCCCCACTCTTCTCTTACATTAAGGAGACGATTGTGTACTGGGTACAATGCATGTATATATGAACAATGGGTGAAATCATACTGTCTTGTTCAGTGATCTCCTCAACTCACATAAGCTGAGAAAGGTCAGATCCCTTGGAGGTTTCTCTTCTGTGATGTGTTTCAGGAAATGATATGGGTGATTTAGTAAGTTGTACTCTTCCTCTGAGTCAATACTGAACCAAATGTTGTCCTAGCCAGGTGCCATGGGACACTGTGCTGCTGGACGGTGCAGTGTTATGGACAAGGTGTAAGACTAAGGAGCCCTCTGCATGTGCTCATTAAAATTCCCACCATAATTTTCCCAAGAGTAGAAGTGTTAGCCCAGTGTTTGGGAGAGGTATTGGAGTGATTTTGGTAGCTTACTTAAATTTCCCCATATGTTTGAATGAGAGAAGTTACTTTTCACTTTGTGTCTTAAATTGCTCTTTGGCATTGCTGTATGTTGTTAAATATCAGCCAAGTGCCTTATCTAAAATGACTGCACTTCAGTCATGGATGAAGTGACTCCTGTAGAAAAGAACTATGCAGTCCAAACTTGCTAGTGTTAACACGCAGGGCAAAACTCCTGTTGATTGCCATGGAACCAGGAACAGGCCCATAGCTGTGAAGCTTATTTTCTGAATGAAAAGCACCGCATAAATATAATCCATCGTCATTAAAAATGTTTGTTCAGCTATTTATGATTATTCACTGTCGTGAAATGTTGGTAATATGCTCTGTTTTTCTTTTAACAGGTAGAGTCACCCCAGAACAGCTCAGTTCATACTTTAAGCTTTTCAAAAACAATTCCAAAGCTCTCAGGAACCACTGTGGACTTCTACAGCTTGTGCTGGCCACAATCCAGGCTTTAAAACACCCCCAGAATGCCAAATGGGACAGCTTCTTAGCCTTTGAAAGGCTACTTTTGCAGGTACAATATTATATAAGCTTACTTAACTTTATACTAAGTAAACAATGTAATTTTTACGTAGTTACTTTTAAATATTTTTGCCCAATTTTATTTTTGCATAATTTGTTTGGGCTATATGATATTATTAAAAAGCTACCTCCTGAACTTATGTTTTTCATACATTTCAAGCTATTTAAAGAATGGGAAACTACACAGTTAATATTTTTGTAGTTTTTAATTCTAATAATAATTTTAGACACAAAATTAAATATTACAGATGAAGGTACATAAAATAATTTGAATTGGGATTGGAACATTTGCATACTAAATTGCAAGTTGACAGCATAGATGTATGTCACTGGTTAGGATCACTATTAAGCTTTAAAATAATAATGATAAATAATGGGCTTCTGGAGCCAAGACATAGTCAGATTCAGAGATGACTTAAAGTGGTAAGTTATATACGTTTATGTGAGTGTAAGCTTGTGTAATTTACATATTGAGTGGGTGAGATTTAATAGGGAAAGCCACCATTAGGAGAACGTGATATTAATTTGTTCCCTCACACATTCATACTGTCACTGACAACTTCTTACAACTTCCTGTTGCAAGTGACACTCTAACCAATATTTAATTTATATTTCTATCTATGCTACCACTGAACTTTAAGAGTAGATGGTATAGTGAACAGACTGTATCCTGCTTAGCTTGGATACAGCAGGGGTTTTCAAAAGAGTCTAAGGGAGTTAGGTGCAGGTAGTGTAAAGTGGGTGGCTTAACTCATATAGGCCCTCTGCAAATTATCACTGTCTGAGGCACGGCAGAGTGAGCACACAATTAATGTCTTGGATAATAGAGTGGAGAGTATGCTTATAAAATTTTCAGATGAGGGGTTGCAAGCACCTGGGAGGACAGGATTAGAATTCAACATGACTTTGACAAATTGGAGAATTGATCTGAAATCAACAAGATGAAAATCAATAAAGACAAGTGCAAAATGGACAGGCAGCTAATATGGAGATATACCTATCTCCTAGAGCTGGAAGGGACCTTGAAAGGTCATCGAGTCCAGCCCCCTGCCTTCACTAGCAGGACCAAGTACTGATTTTGCCCCAGATCCCTAAGTGGCCCCCTCAAGGATTGAACTCACAACCCTGGGTTTAGCAGGCCAATGCTCAAACCACTGAGCTATCCCTCAAATGCACAGCTACAAAATGGGAATAACAGGCTAGGTGGCACTACTGCTGAAAAGGGTATGTGTGTGGGGGGAGCTATGGTGGATCACAAATTGAATATGAGTCAATAATGCAATGTAGTTGCTTAAAAGGCTAATATTGTTCTGGGGTGTAATTGTCCCAGTCTGCTCGGCCCTGTGGACACCTCAGTTGGAGTAATGTGTCCAATTCCAGGTGCTTCACTTTAGGAAAGATGTAAATAAATTGGAGAGAGTCCAGAGGAGAGTCACAAAAATGATAAAAGGTTTAGAAAACCTGACCTATGAGGAAAAGTTAACAAAGCTGGGTATGGTAGGTCTTGAGAAAAGAAGACTGAGTGGGGACCTGATAACTGTCTTCAAATATGTTAAGGGCTGTTTTAAAGAGATTGGTGATCAGTTGTTCTCCATGTTCACCATGTCCACTGACGGCAGGACAAGAGTAATGGGCTTAATTTGCAGCAAGGGGCATTTAGGTTAGAAATTAGGACAAACTTTCTAATTATAAGGGTAGTTAAACTCTGGAACAGGCTTCCAAGAGAGGTTGTGGAATCTCCATCATTTAGGGTGACCAGACAGGAAGTGTGAAAAATCGGGACGGGGGTGGGGGTAATAGGAGCCTATATAAGAAAAAGACCCCAAAATCGGCACTGTCCCTATAAAATTGGGACATTTGGTCACCCTCATTGCAAGATTTTAAGAATAGGTTGAACAACCATCTGTCAGGGATGGTCTAGGATTTACTTGGTCCTGCCTCAGTGTAGGAGGCTGGACTTGTTGACTTCTCAATGTCCTTTTTAGCTCTACACTTCTTTGATTCTATTAATTTTTTCTGTGGCATGCCCCTGGGGCAGCAGAGCAAAACACTACCCCTTACTATGGGCTGTGTTCATCTGGCACAATCTAGCCCAGAAGATTCTAAAGTATGTATTAGTGACCAGAATCTGCCACCCTTATTCACAGTGACTAGCACTTTATTCCATGAGTAGTCCCATCTGTTTCAATGAGACTGTTCTAAGGGAAGGATTATTCACAATGAGTAAGGGTTGCAGAAACTTGTTCTAAAATAACATAGGTGGATAAATACATTTAGGCGGCTTAAAATATCTATTTTTTCCTGCAAAAAATACCTTAGTAGCATTTAATACTAATAAAATAAATACCTTAGCCTTAGTAGCATTTAACATTTTACTGCTGTATTTAGAACAAAGTTTAGAAAAGGGCAGATGTAATTTGAACACAAATTAATATAGATTGGCTTGACAAATACATTTTGTTGAGTCATAAAAATAGTTTTACTCCTACTGACGTAATTTCTGTCTGACAGCAGGTTAAATGCATTTAATCTACCGACACTGTATGATATATAGTTGTTCTTCACACTTTCTCCTGAGCCAAAAGTATCCAGTGCAGATTTTATTATGTAGATATATCTAGTAAATGAAGTGGATTTAAATTACCATCTATCTCACCTATGATTGTATCCCCATATTCGGCCTCATACAGTGGAAAAGACAGACTGTTATCTATGATGTTTAGAAATATAATGCTTGGAAAATAATTTTAATTGGAAAAGCAAAGCTTCTTATTTCTATAATATATCACTGATATTTTTGTGTTACTCTTCAGAAGGAAACATTTTATTAGCAGGAGATTACTGAATTTTTTTTCAAACATGGCAGACCATAGATGCTGAAAGCAAACAGCTGTTTTCACAATTTTTTTGTTTTTTTAAAGTGAGATCCCTCTTTAGTAGGAGGTTGTTCTTCTCTGTTATAATAGCTTTGGGATAAACTCATGGTAAGAAGTGTAAAATTCAACATAATAAAACTGTTAAACTAAAACAATATTACATTTAGAGCTAAACTGCCCAAAACAAGGAAAAGAAGTTCCCTTAACCCAGTCCTTTTGTCTAAAAATCACTACATAATACTGGGCCTTGCTATATGCTTTATTCTATTGTAAAATGGGGAACAAAATAGTTAAAAGTGCAGTAACGTTGTTTTGCAAAGCACTTGGAAAGTCAACATGGATTAGTAGACTCAACCCTGGACTAGGGGGCCATTACTCCTGTGGTCTGATCTAAGTTCTGTCAGTGGTTTTGTTGTGTACTACTGTGTAAGTCATTTAATCTAAGGGTTTGTCTACACTTAAAATATGACTGTTATTTGGCTAACCTTAGGATCGATGACCAACTAAAACTCCCCCAGCTTTTGTCTACCACCTGACTTAGGCTGCAAGCTCTTTGGGCTGGGATTGTGTCTTGCTGTGTGTGGACATTACATGGCACATTGTGAGTCCACCATAATTCAATAACAATTAATAATAGATTCCTGGGTGCCAGAGCTGTTGGCCTCTACCCCACCTACCATTCACTGCTGGAAGTGAAATCAGGGAGCGTGGAGCTCCCTTTTCTTCAAAATCTATCAATGCCAGTTATTTAGTTGACAAGAGTGGGGCTTCAGAGAGAGGCAAGGTACCTCCAGCCTCTGAGGACTAGGAATAGCAGACCAAAACTGCAACCAGAACTCTTATTCTGTATATCTGACACTGCATTATGCGGCTGTTAAACTTCCAGGCCAGCTCAGGAATTAGGTTATTTTAGTAGAGTGTTAGGTTTTAGTGTCTCCTGGTGATGTGAGTAAGTCAAATACTGGCGTGATGGGAGCTAGAGAAGTACCTAAACAGATAAATATTGGCAGAGTACAATATTTTCATGGTCTCAGAGTCCACAACATAATTAGTTGTTTTAACCTTTGTTTTATTTACTTTGTTCTTTATCTCACAAAATGTTTTGAAAGGCAGAATAGTGGGCTTTTTGTTCTGCTAAGCTTCTTGAAAAAATAAAATGTTATACATATATATTTGAAAAAGAGAAAAAAAACCTTAATGCCAGCTGGTCATTCCAGTGTTTTTATTCCTCTCCTAAAGGAAAGTTATGAGGTTAATAAAATGACATCATTCTCTCTCCTGTGAATGCCATAGTGCAAGCTAAGGAAAAAGGAGTGGAAAAAACTATAATACAGATGAACATTTTACATTACAGCTAGTGTTTAAATGCATTGTACACCATACTCTGTGTACCTAGCCTCCATTTTGCCAGAAGTTAGGAGTGGACGACAGGGAATAGATCACTTAATGATTGTCTGTTCTGTTGATTCCCTCTGAAGCACCTGGCATTGGCCACTGTCAGAACACAGGATACTGGGCTACATGGACATTTGGTCTAACCCAGTAGGGCTGTTCTTATTTTTCAATAACAAATATAAGTTAACATTAAAGGTAATAACTTTGAAGTATGGGTATGCAGTGATTCCACCAGGTGCTGTGATTCTGTCCCATCTTGTCATATGAAACAGGATCTGGCTGGCTCAGTACTTAAACAGGTGACATTATGGTTATTATTTATTTGTGTAGGCAGCACACGCACACATACACATACACATGAAAACACTGTCCCTAGGAATTTGCAAACTAAAGGCATGATTCTGCCTGTTGTGCTGCATGGACATAGGACTCCACCTGCGTGAAGTTTACTATAAGATTGGGACCTACATACCTCTATTACAGTACATCCTGAAGGAAGTGGTATTCATCATTCACATGGGTGACAGTATTCACTCTGAATACGAATCCGAAGCCTGAGCACAGTGTTCAGGAGCACTATTTAGGGTGCAGAATTCTTGACATCCTTAAGGGCCCATTGCACTGCTCATTAGTGAGTTATGGATACAAAGCTGCTGCTAACACATGAGAAAAGAGTAACACACAGTCTGCTTCCTCTGTTAGTGAATGAAGTAGTTTTTAG